GTGTGTGTTTGAGTATGTGTGTGTGTGGAAGTTTGTGTGTGGAAGTTTGTGTGTGTGCATATATATATATATGCATGTACAGATACAAACGTATATATATACATACATATGTATATATATACATACATATGTATATATAAACACACACGTGTGTGTATACATATATATATATATATATATATATATATACATATATAGGAAGTATACTTATCTATATGTATAAGTATATTTATTTACATAATATGTATATATGTACATATAGGTATGTATATATATATTCCGACCCTCGTGGGTTCAATTCTCCGTCGCAGTAGTAAAAATGCCTGCGCATTGATTGCTGGTTCGAGCCCGAGAAAACGACATATCATCTTGAGAAGCCAAACGCAGGTGTCATAGGGGAAGTCACCGCCGTGGCACAAGTGTTATCATGTCGAACCCCGGTTGATTAGGAAGAGCATCCAATCAGGCAAGGGTGACACTGCCATAGAACCTCTTAATACTGAATTGAGAGAGGCCTATTCCTGCAGTGGAATAAATGTCTGTTAAGAAAAAAAAAGATATATACACACACACACACACACACACACATATATATACATATATATATATATATATATATTTCCAACAGCCATATATTCCACTGCAGGGCATATGCCTCTCTCAATTCATTATGAGAGGTTATTTGGCAGTACCACCCTTGCCTGATTGGATGCCCTTCCTAATCAACCGCGATTCGGCGCGCTAACACTTGTTCCACAGCGGTGACTTCCCCTACGACACCTGCGTTTGACTTCTCAAGGCGATATGTCGTTTTCTCGTCATGAGATCGGGCTCGAGCCAGCAGTCGAAGTGCAGGCATTTTTACGATTGCCGCGGCGAGGAATTGAACATGGGTTGGAGACCAGTACTTTAATCACTGGACCATCATGGCAGATGTGTATATATATTTACCTATATATATATATATATATATTTATTTGTAAATATATACATATATAGACATATATATATATATATATATATATTATATACATACACACACATATATATGTATATACACATATATACATACACAGACAGACATACACAAACATATGTATATATATATTTATATATGTATATATTCTGGACAACGAACTACGACTTACTCTGTCACACTATTACATGCAAACTTTTAAAATATTCTATTTTGTAATAAGACCTACTCTGACGCACTACCATACACCAGCAAGAGATGTTTCTCAGAGTACCACGCAACTAAAAATATTTTTGCCATGCCACCACATACCAGGACCGACTCTATTCCACTACTATAACTGGCAAAAAGGCAAAAAATGCAGTCTACCACACAAAAACTAAAAAATATTTTTTAGTCTACCCTATCACGATACACTATCCCTATTCCAAAAGAAAACAAATTAATAGTAAAAACAGACCACCACAGACTAACTAAAAATATCTCTTATACACTGCCACATTTAAAGACCAGTTCCACCACACTAACATATACGAGCTTTTAAAAATCTAGCATAGTAAACACTAAGAAAACCTATTTTCCACACTACCTAATAAATAACAAAATGTTTGCCACATATTGAAGCCTTTACCTCCGTACCAGATGTACGCGTATCCAGTCGTCCTGCGAACGACTACAACGTCACGACTCGCAGATACGACCACATTTATTACCCCAACACTTTCATTGAGCTTCCTGAACTGTTCTATCGCGGTTACGTCAATGAGGATAACAACGTGAGGGTCGTTTTTATGTCATATACGACCTTGCACAGCGTCACCAACACTATACCGCAGTAAGTTCATTCGGCGCTGTTCGGTTCTCTGTTGTTTTGAATCTGGGTGGATTTTAAGCTTTGGTTATGTACTTTGGAATATATTTGAAATATGAAAATGGGTGAATGTGATATAAGGTATAAATCTCATTCACGAACACACGCACATGCTTGTGTATGTGTGTAAAAATGTCTCAATATATTTCTTCGATAAAGACAATATAGTCTTTGAACGGTGCAAATGAAAGATTTTGGTTATGAATTTTCTCATAGTAACACATTGGTTTGTTTATCTGCGTTCACAGCGACCCTAAACAGGCTTCCCCCGACAACTTTCCAGCTAAAGGTCAGGTCAACAGCGGAATTATCAATGCCATTGTTGGACAAAAGGGACTCTGGCGCGCAGGTAAGGTCATCGGGTTCGTATTTCGGTCTTTATCTAAGGATCAAGAGGCAAATGTGTTGGTATGCAGTGGCGTAGCCAGAGCAGGAAGATTGGGGGGGCAAACAGGTAAGAAAAATAGCAGGGGTCCGGGAATCTTCCCCCGGGAAAATTTAAGACCACGCCTCTTAGAATGCTGGAAAACGGCTCTTTTTAGATGGCTTATAATGAGCTATGCCATTTGTGCAATAAAATTTGTAGGGGGGCCCCCTACAAATTTTATTGCAGATTTGCACTTTTCTTAGAGACCAACTTTCTGAGCATTGGGGGGGGGCGGCTGCACCCCCTTGCCCCCCCCCCCTCGCTACGCTACTGTTGATATGCACGCTGTATCTTTGTTAACACTTGTCCTTTGATATCTAAACATACATGATAAAATTTACGAAGTTGACATATGCATGTTATATCATTCTGCCTTTTTCTTTTTTTTTTTTTACCTTCTTTTCGTCTTCTTTTTCTTTATTTTTTTTCCTTATCTCTTCTCAATATTCTACTTTGTCTTTCTTTTCTTTATTTATCTTTTTTTTGTACTTTTTTTTCCAATTCAATTTTTTCGTTTTCTTTTTCTCCTCTTCTTCTTTTGCTCTTTTATCTTACTCTTCCCCCTTTTCTGGTCATTGTCTTCATTCCCTTTCCCCTTTCCTTCTTTTCTCAACTTTTTCTACTACACCTCCACCTTTAAATTGAGCTGACTCCACTCTAATCCTTCCACCTCCGTCCCTCCACTCGTATCCTTCCATTTCCTTCTTTCCCACCATCCCTTCACTAACTCTTCCATCTACCTCCCTCCACTCGTATTCTTCTACTTCCCTCTCTTTCCCCCCTCCCTTCACTCTAATTCGTCCACCTATCTTCCTCCACTCGAATTCTTCCACCTCCTTCCCTCTACTCTAACTCTTCCACATCCCTCTCTTCCTCCACTTTCGACCTCCCTCACTCCCTCCTACCTACTTCCACAATTCCACCTATCTTGCACAGGCGACGGCGAGACAACAAAAGTGAAATTCGGCCACGTGTACAAAGGCGATGGGTTCCTCCTCGCCAACCCCAGCTGTGTGTGGTGGGACGAGGCAGCCTACGCCTGGAACACGAGTGGGTGCGCCCTCAATTACACGGACGCCCACGTAACGATCTGTCGCTGCAACCACCTGACGTCCCTCGCTCTCCTGATGGACGTTCGTGGATTCTTGGCGAAGGAAGGAGTGAGAGAGGTTAGTTAATGGTGCTTAGAAGTTCCGACGGTGGTGTTGCTGATATTATTGTTGTTGGTGTGGTGGTGTTATTATCAGTCATCTTTATCATTATCATTGCTGTTCATTTTGTTATCATTATCACTATTATTGTTGTTGTTTATAGTGTTATTATGACTGTCATCTTTATCATTGTTGTTATTGTTATTGCTATTGCTTTTGATCTTGTTATCATTATCACTGTTATTATTGTTGTATTTTATAGTGTTATTATGACTGTCATCTTTATCATTGTTATTAATTTTGCTATTGGTATTATTATTGTTATTATTGTTGTTATTGCAGTTTGTTTTATCTGGTGTAGCTACTGGTATCATTATCATTGCCATATGTTGGTGTTCTCTTGTGTGTCTGGTGTTGCTGGTATATTTATCCTTATCATTATTGTCGTTGTAACTGTTGTTGATGCTGCTATCATCCATTACTATTGACATCATTATTACATTTGTTACTGTCCTATTACATTTTATTATTCATATAGAATTATCAATTACTCCCTCGCCCTAAACTAGTCACAGCGATTTAAAAGGAGGAGGAGGAGAACAACAAACAACAGGGACAGCAAAACAGTAGAAAGCATCAATATCAGAACGGCGCTCTCTTTCCCAGAACCCCGCCTACCTCGCCGGCAAATGGCTAACCCTCCTTGGCTGCAGCGCCTCCGCCATCTGTCTCGTCCTTTGCATCGTCTGCATCCTCGCCCTCAAGCAGCTGCGGGAAACCACCTGCTGGAAGACCCGTTGCCATCTGTGCGTGAGTCTCCTGTTAGTGCAGCTGCTCGTGATGGGCCTCGACGCCACAGAAACACGGTGGCTGTGCTTATCCGTTGCTGTGTCGCTTCACTTCGCCATGCTGTCGGCGTTCACGTGGGGGGCCGTCGAGTCTTTTAACATGTATATGAAGTTTGGCAAGGTGAGCGCGGCCTTCTCTTGTGCTTCTTCTGACGATGATGATAATGAAATGATGATTATTATTGTAATTATTATTGTCATTATTATTACCTTCATGATCATGATAACTATCATTGTCATTATTATCATTATTATTATTATTATCATTAATATTGCTGTTGTTGTTTTGTTGTTCTTGTCATTATTATCATTATTATAGGTATTGTTATTATCATGATTATGATTACTACTACCATTATTATTATTATTATCATTATTATTACTATTATTATTATTACTATTAGCCTTACTGTTATTACCATCCTCATCCTCATCATTATTATTACTATTATTTCTTTTTTTACTCTGTAAAAAGAAGCTGATGCATTTTGAATAACCAGTTCCACATTATGAAATACTACAATACTGATGTATTCAACGTCAAGTTTTCTCCAATAATTCTGATGAAGATATGATATCAAACGCTAATTGATATATATTAATTCCAAACATTTATTCACCTTCCTGTATGTCTCTACATTCTAATTCACACTTATTTCCCAACATTTTCCTTTTCAAAGTGCACTCTGCTTGATCTTTGACATTCCTCTCAACAGGTATGGCGTCCGCAGAGGTCATTGGTCAAGTTCTATGTGGGCGTCGGATATGGCTTCCCCGCTGTGGTAGTTTCGACGACCCTTGCTGTCAGTAAGACTCACGGTTATTACACTGAGACAACGTGAGTAATCTATTTTCGCGTTTTGTGCGTCTGTTTCTGTGTCTGTGTGCGTTTTGTGCGTCTGTTTCTGTGTCTGTGTGCGTTTTGTGTGTCTGTTTCAATGTTTGATGGAGGGATGTTACATAATCTTATGAAGGTATGGGTGAGTTTTTATTTACTTTAAAAGATCGGGTGACCAATTGAAGATATAAAAGAAATAATTGAATAGTGGTCCCTGAGGGATATAGAAAACGATTTTTTTTTTTTCATAGAGCTCGCGGATTCTCTTCATTTTTCTTAATTAGAAAAAAAAATCCTTCAATTTAAGAATTGATATATTTCCTTTCATCTCACCATTAAATAAACAATGGAAAACTAAATTACTTTATGTTAGCTTATTCTGCATGAGATAAATCCACTTCTTGAGCTCATAGAGAATATCTTAATAGTTACAAAGTCAGCAATTGCTCTTATTAAGAGCCACGGAACATAAGATCTGTAGAGCCTGTGAATGAAATTCCATTGATGTATTGATATAATTCTTCATGACTATGCAATGTCAGATAATTCGAGAAGTTTAAGAGCTAGAAATTTAAAACCCAACTTCTGTAATAATAATAATAATGATAATAATAAAACTGCGAAATACATTTCTTAAAAACCCATTTGCAGAGAGAGAGAGAGAGAGAGAGAAATAGATAGCTGAAGAGAGAGAGAGGGAGAGGTTTAGTTTAGTTTGATTCCATTTGTTACAATGGATATTCTTGGTGTGACATAGTGTCTGTTTCATTTTCCGTCTAAGTTATCCCCTGTGTGCAAGGAATGGCTGGGGTTACCATCCACTGCCGGCGAGGGATTTGAACGCAGGTCAGCAAGATTGCTAGACGAGATCGCTACCGCTGCACCACACAGCACACAAAGAGAGAGAGAGAGAAAGATAGGTAGATAGATTGATAGACAGATAAATAGATAGATAGAGAGAATAACTTCAGAACCAAACCTTAGATTTCCTGTAGGGGAGGATCAGTCTAGCTGAACATCTCCAACCAATTCTTTTAATCAAGGAGAAAATTTCTGTGACCTTTCAGATGCTGGTTGGCACCCGGGGCGATGATGTGGACGTTCTTTGGCATCGTGGCACTGATCCTCGCTGTGAGTCGCGTTCTTGTGTGTTTCTGTCGGTGTTTTGTGTCTGTCTGTTTGTTTGTGTGTTTCTGTATGTTTCTGTGCCTATGTGCGTTTTGTGTGTCTGCTTTTGTGTCCGTGTGTGTTTTATGTATCTGTTTCTGCAATTCTGTGTTTTTCTGTGTCTGTGTGCGATTCTGTGTGTCTGTTTCTGTGTCTGTGTGTATTTTGTGTGCCTATGTGCGATTATGTGTGTCTGTTTATGTGCCTGTGTGCGTTTTGAGTGTACAAGTATATGTGTCTGTTCTATGTCTGTGTTCGAGTGTGTGTCTGTTTCTATGTTCGTTTATGTGTCTGTTTCTGCGCTTCTGTGTGTCTGTTTCTGTGTCTGTGTCAGTGTCGTTATTGCATCTGTTTCTGCGTATTTGTGTACATCTGTGTTTATGTTTTTTTTATTTTTTATCAGGAATGTGCCTGTCTACGGCTCTTACTATCTGTCTTTCTGTCTGTGTCTATGTCTTTCCTGTTTGTCTTTTTTTTCTGAATCTCGTCTTTATCTTTACGCCTGTGTCTGTTTCATCTCTATATATCTCTTTGTTAGTGTCTCTTCTTATAAAGAGAAAAACAGTTGAACTAAATTTACTGCAGTGTTTGATTTCCTTTTCTTTGGTCTGGACTTAAATGAAACATGTTGGAGTTTTATTAACTGTCAAAACATATCACCAAACTAGCAATGACTATAAGGGTATTTTTTTTTTTTGTCTTTTGTCTTTTTGAGTTTGCATATTAGTTCAGTTTGGGTTTTCTCTTTCTGTCTGTCTGTTTGTCTATCTGACTATCTGTCTCTCTCTCTCTCTCTCTCACTTCCTCTTTCTTCCTCTCTCTCACTCAGTCTCCTATATTTCCAAGTATCTATTTCGAATATTTTACATTGGCACAAAAATCAAATCTTCCTCAGTATATTTACTTCTGTCTTTATCATCGGCAATTTGCTATCGCCAAAGGATAATCGCTATCACCATCAAATCATTACTATTAATGTCTCCATCACATCATAAATATAATCTTTATCACTACGTCACTATCACCATCATTATCAACGCCCTCATCAACATCTACCACCAACTCACACCATCACAATCACTGTCTTTATCCTGACCATCACCATCTCTCACTATCATCACCTCTCAACATCAATATCTCACATCATCTCTCGCTATAACCACATCACTCCATCACTGTCTCTCACTGTCACCACACATCACCATCTCTCACTGTCGCCATGTCACCATCAGCACCAGCCATCATTCACCATCACAATCTCTCACTCTCATTCTCTCTCCCCCTCACCCTCTCTCCCCATCACCACCAACCCTCACAACCCCTTCCCCCTCCCTTTCAGATAAACCTCCTCGCCTTCGTGATGGTGTTGCGCTTGGTCTTAGCGCGAACGATGAAGGCCAAGAGTCCTCAGCCAGCTGGCACTGATAGCAAATGGCAGACTGACCGAATCTGGGGCACCCTTACCATCTTCCTCGTCCTCGGCCTCACCTGGTTGACCGGGATTCTCTACGCCGCTTTCGGTACGGTAGGGTGGGGTGGGGTGGGGAAGAGGGGAAAGGGGGAAGGGGGAGGAGGAAGAGGGGAAAGGAGGAAGCGGGGATGGGGGTAAGGGGTAAGGCAAAAGTGGGGGGTTTGGATAAGTGGAAAAGGGTGGGAGTGTGGGAGGTGAAGGTAGGGTTGAGGGTAAGGGGGTGAGGGGAAAGGGGGGATTGGATAAGGGGAATAGGAATAAAGGGGGAAGGGGTAAGTGATTTAAGTAAGGGGGGAGGGTAAGAGAGGGAGTGAGGGTTGGGAAAAGGGAAGGGGAGGGGTGAGGGAAAGGGGTAAAGAGGTTAAGGGTTGGGGATGGGGGGAAGGGGTGAAGGTAAGGGGGAAGGGATGAGGGTTAGGGAAGGGAAGAGGTTAGGAAAGAGTGCATGAGGGAGGATAAAATAGGTAGAAGACGAGGGATATAGGAGGAAGAGAGAGCGATAAGAGATAAAGAGAGAACGATAGAAAATACAACAAAGGCGAGAGATAGATAGATAGACAGATACAGAGAAAGTGTTGGTGAGCATCTCTATATGAGCAAAATAGGCCTTACCTCACTCATAATCTTACAGACAATAGCTTTACAAGAAAGAAAGAAAAGACGCCGAAAAAATACAAGAATAAGTGATTAACTAAAGGATAAGTGTCTTATAACCCAAACAGAATCTACCACCCTGGCCATCGTCTTCATTCTGACCAACAGCTTCCAAGGCGTGTGGATGTTCATCTTCGGAATCGTGTTGAACAGGAGGGTCCGTGAAGATGCTGTGAAACTTATGGTTAGTGAAATTTACCAGGGACTTATCTCTCTTGTTATTATTGTTCTCCCTCTCTCTCTCGCTCGCTCGCTCTCTTTCTCTCTCTCTCTCGCTTGCTCTTGCTCTCTCTCGCTCTCTCTCTCTCGTTCGCTCTCTCTCTCGCTCGCTCTCTTTCTCTTTCTCTCTCCCTCTCTCTCTCTTTCTCTCTCTCTCGCTCGCTCTCTCTCTCTCTTTCTCTCTCCCTCCCCCCCCTCTCTTTCTCTTCTCTCTTTTTCTGTCTGTCTCTCTCTCTCTCTTCCTCCCTCTCTTTCTCTGTATGTCTGTCTGTCTGTCTCAGTCTCTGACTGTCTGTCTGTCAGTCTGTCTGTCTCTCTCTTTCTCCCTATCTCTCTTTTCTTGTGTTCTGATTGCTTTATTTATAATCTTTTCCTTTTTTATTGTTGTTGTTAGTAACATTATTATCATTTATATTATTATGGTGATGATGATGGCTATTATTATTATTATTATCATCAATATTGTTATTACTATCATTATTATTCTTGTTCTTGTTATATGTTTTATTGTTGTTATTGTTATCATCATTACTATTATTGTAATTGTTATTATTATTGTTATTTTTCTGACCATTATCAATATTATCATATATATATATATATATATATATATATATATATATATATATGTATATATATATTTGCACACATACACACACTCACACACATTATATATATATATGTATATATATATATATATATATATATATATATTTGTATCTATGTACGTGTGTGTCTATATATATGTATATATATACATATATATATATAATATACATGTGTATATATATGTATGCATGTATATATATGTATATATGTGTCTCTCTCTCTTTATATATATGTACACCAACACACACACACATTGTATATATATATTCAAATATTCATATCTATGTATGTGTGTCTATATATGTATATATTTATATATATATGTATATATAAATATATATAATATATATATATATATATATATATATATATAAATGTATACATACATATATATATATGTATATATATATATATATATATGCGTGTGTGTGTGTGTGTCTGTATGTATGTATATATATATATAAACACACACAGAGATATATATATATATATATATATATATATATATATATATATATATGTGTGTTTCTCTCTTTATATATATATATAAATGTCTGTGTGTGCACATATATATACCTGTATGTATATCTATTTATTCATCTATCCATTTATCTTTATATTCTCTATTTTTCTAGCTCAGTTGGCGAAAAGGAAGAGATCGGATGGAACCATCGGTCAGATTCACAACCTCAAACACATTAGATTCTCAAGTAGACACCGGGAAATGAAAATCCCTTTACTCAACCATTCATTCATTCAAGAGGTAGACCAAAGGGGGAGGGAGGGGGTTGTGAAGGTGGGGGGGGGGTAAAGGGGAAGGCGTAGATATTCTAGGGATAATCTGTTTATTTGTTTATTGTTTATTATGTATTAATGTCACCATATTTTTCTTCAGTAATGCTTTAAGTATGATATCCTGGTTCGTCTTATTGTTTGTATTATTATCAATACCATTTTGGTATGTGATTCATGTATATGTAAGATTCTCTTGACAATTTCGATTGGTGATGACATTGTCAAAAGATGAAATGGAGCATATACTATTACACACACACATACACGCACACATACATAAACACACACAGTCACACAGACACACACACACCTATTTTCAGTGATAGTATTGTGCCCATTACGATCATTGATCAGTATATTTGATTATCTATCAGTAGGAAACCTACTGATACATAGTACATGAACAGACAATTTTACATATATCTGAAACACAAACTGATTGATTGCCTTAATATATCTGGACATTGAATTATGTGAAGCCGAGTGAAAACAATACTTTATTGTCTAATTTCAAAATAAAAAAAATAAAAATGTATGGGTAACTCTTTATTCCTCTTCTCATAATATTCCTGTTATGCAGTACAAACATGTGGATTCTCTTTTCATGATTGTTTTATCTGCTACTCTTTGTTTTTATTAATGTAGTGACATGTGTGAGTTTTGCCATGGTAGGTAAACATTTTCGGAATGCGATTAAATTGAAAATGTAGCTTTCGGGAAGTCGAGAGGGAGAGGAGGCGGTTCTGTGACAAGCTCAGGGGTGGGGGCAGGGGGGTGACAGCAAGGGGTATGGGGGTTTCTATGGCAATTGAATGGCTCCTTGAAACAAAGGTGACGACCTCCTGTTGCCATACCTGATGGGGAGGAGGAGGGAATTAAAGGTCAGTGTGGTTATTATCATGAGGAGGATGTTAGATGGGATAGGAATAATGGTGATGATGGTGGTAGGTGGGATGGTGATGATGATGGTAATGGTGGTAATGATGAGGATGATAATGAAGATGATGACGATAGTGATAATGATGATGATGAATATAATGATGGTAATGATAATGGTGATGGCGACGGCGTGGTGGTGATGATAATTATGATAATGGCTATGATTGATGATGAAGATAATGATGCTGATGATGATAAGGATGATTATGGGGTTACAATAGTAACAATAATGATAATGCAACGACGAAAAGTTGAAGTAAAAATATAACAATGACAATGATTTTGATTACTCCTGCAATTTTTACTCTCAGTATCTTTCATAAAGCATTTTTTTTCATGAGCATTGGCAAATAAGAATTGTTCACTTACCAATAACTGAACAGATCACGAAGACGAAGACGAGACGAAAATGAGCAGTGAACCTCCGGAACATGATTTGAACGTTCAGTCTAAAATTAAGAAATATCGTTTCTCAGTCGATATGTTCTCTTTTAGAGAAAGAGAGAGATGGGGGAAAAGAGAGAGAGAGAGGAGGGGGGGAGGAAGAGAGAGAGAAAGAGATAGATAGGTAGAGAGAGGAACAGATTGACAGACAGATAAGCAGACAAAGAGAGAATTTTCTTTTAGATACCATCTATACATACCCATCTATTGCATAAAATATGTCAAATGTATTTAATAATGGATATTTCCGCTTTTAACACAGGCAGTTAAGCACAGTAAAACCGCAGATTTTGAAGACATAGTCAGTACGGACATACTGAAGCCAATTAGCACGGATATAAAGGCATGGCTACAATATAGATATCTAATAACAGTGACTGTAAACACCATACGTATAAGAAGGTACCTGTTCATATACTAAAATAAACATTAAATGGGAACACATATAAACATGTATAGATACACATACAAATATCAACCCACAGTTTAACAGCATCGCATACATATAAACAGAAATACACCTGGATTCTCACAAAAAAAAAAAAAAAAAAAAAAATAAAATAATATATATATATATATATATATATATATATATATATATATATATATATATATATATAGATACACATAAGCACAGAAAATGTCGAAAATGACCCGAAAAAAGAATACTATTAAAAGGGTTAATCGTACACATGACAATGAATATATACTTAACTTACTTTCAGGACTTGATATTTGACTAATCTACTATATAGTCGTGATGGATGTTCAGTGTAGTCTGCCTGTGTGGTTGTGCTCTTAGATACTTGCCTTATATGCCTGTGTAGGTGTCTGAACGTGTGTGCGTGTGTATGTGTACGAGCATTGCCGGAGGTTACCAGGTCTTCCCAGACACCTTGGTTTCCAATGATGAATAAAAGAGATAAATACATAAAAAGAAAAAAAAAATGAGAAGAAAACATCACGAATGTCTCCAGCTACGGCAAAAACAGTGACATATCTGGTAATAATTGCCGATTAATATATATATATATATATATATAACGACCACCGTCTTCTGCAAGCGTATTTTCCGGTTGCCACACTCCTTC